AGGTTTTTGAACACAGCTGAATACGATGTGTGATAGTTTAAAATACTGTATCCTTGCATTCCTTGTGAATTAAAGAAAGTTGCCTGTGAAGAATTGCACACTAACTCAATTCTACTTAAAATGCTTTAGAAGCAGAATATTGAGTTTGTTTAATCCGGTCAGATCCTGATATAACCTAATAGTTAATCAAGTATAATCTATGTGATGTAATTGTAACCACTTCCGGTCTGATAAATCTGATTACGTTTATTGTAATGTAACCTCAGTAGGCCTACAGAGCTATACTGACTGAAGATTTTGCCTTCGACGTTAATTCCGAATGATTGATTCTTGTCTTGTTTTCTGCCATCCGTATGCTTATCAGGATGCTGTTCCTTTCGTAAGAAAGGGGGAAACACTAGGATTGGAAAGAATAATATCTGACAGTTGTAATAATTGCTTTATATTCTTTATTACTATCGATACTTTGTCTGAAGTGGGATAGTAATGACCCGATGACAGGACAGCAAAAAGACAAATGAGTGTTGAAATAAAGTTATCGTTTTACTACAAAGCTGTATAGTAATGTTTTCGGGTAATGTATAAAAATAACAATTTCGTGTATCAATATAGATGTCTGTGTCGCAGCTATTTTAGCGTGAAACGATTGAAACGCTACATTAAGGAGACTTGATAGAATATTGACAAAATACAGAAACTTATTTACGGTTCAGACTTGAATTTCCTGAGTTCACAGAGTTCCTTGAGCAGAATGCAGAATTTGTGCTAGTAAATTTTAGTGTAATATTTATTTTGGCGAATATGTAATAAATCTTTCGCATTTAATGCCAGATTTATAAAAGCTATGTAGCTTTGACATTCGGGATTTGATTCCCGACAGGAGCAGGGAATTTTATCTTTACCACAGTGTGCTCTGGGTTAGATTATTTCTTTTATCCGGTGGATACCAGGGGGTAAAGCACGAGTCTGATCACTCTTGTCTACCTAATGCCTAGCTATAACCTCACTTCCCATAGCTCTTCATAAAGCCGTGCAAAATTACATTCTGAGGAAATTTGTCTTCTGTAGCTGTACCACTTATTATTTCAGAACATCATATTTAATTTTCGTTATCATTGGTTTGTATACAGTATAAAAACTGGAGCAGCAGATTAAATAGTAAATTCACTGTTTATACCGCCTTGTAAGATGCAAACAACATGAGAGGTGAAAACAAGAAAGTATCGATACAGAGTGGTCTGTCGTATGAAATATCTGCGGTATTGTAATTAATTTCATCATAGGGGAATATAGGTTTTTCTCATGTGTATCACTAATTTATCTGCCTGGAGCAGGCAGTTCTACTCTTCTACTACCGATAGCGCTCTCTGTTCCGTTTTCAGTGTGCGTATAGCATTATATTTTGATCGGCTTGAGAGTCTATATTACATATTGTAATTAAAATGTGTTTGGCACTGAGGGTCAGAGTCTAATAACTAATATATATACATATCGAAATATAAGTTAACGTGATATGATTTGTTTAAGACAATATACGAACTTGGGAATTCTTCGTTTTTAGGAATTTCCTGCGTTACCAACTGTTCATAGGAACTCATCTAGCTCAGGGGTCGGCAAACATTTTTTCTAAAGGGCCAAATAGTAAATATTTTAGGCTCTGCGGGCCAAGAGGCAAACTCGAGGATATTTATATAGGTAAGCCTACTTATGTAAAGAGAAAAACCAGGTTTTAACAAATTTATTGAACAAAATGTAACGTAATAATAATAATAAGTGGACTACAATTGTTTGAAATACAGCTCTACTAATGAGAAGAATGGAATTGCCTGTTTTGAGATAACATTTCACCAAACTGAGGTTTAAATTCAGTACTCCCTATCATAAAAATTGATTGTAAATGTTCATCCGTTAATGCTGGCCTGTATTGAGAAAATGTCTCTTCACACAGGTAGGCGCTGCCAAATACAGATATCAATCCCCGAGCATATGATCTTAATTGACCGTATTCACTTATTAGGGTAGAACTCTTCTTCTGAACAATCGGAAACTATCTACAAACACGTATGTTGTCATAATTCAGAAAACCACATTTAATTTTTCACCACCGTGAAAACCTCAGATTAACGTATTATGATTTGAGGTTCTCACGGCGGTGAATGGCTGTCAAATGGGTTCTAGCGCCATGTATTCTGGCAGAAGTTTACCAACGTTTCAGAGGTACTTGCTGCCTCCATCATCAACCTGATTATCTACCTGACTGTACGACGCTACAACCGAGAAGAATAACTTACTTCTAGCAATGATATTTGAAGAATTATACAAACATATATTCCTAGCGATTACATCATATATGACTTAAATAAACTTTTAAATGTGAGGTTTGCTTTTACAGTGATGTACTTGCAGATGCTCAGCAACGAAATGTTTATGGATTATGGAGTTTTCAAACACCCTGTAGTGTACTCTGCCTGTATCATTAGGCCGATAGTAGTTGTATGGGCAGTGACATAGAGAAGCCCGTGAGCTTTGAATTTAACATGTCTTTCAACTGGTTACATGATACTGATTTGCTTTGGCCAGCTACACGGTGTTCTGCTTCGGGGTTAATGAAGGCGGTGGACATGTACGCGTATTGCTATGCTGAAACCGGGAGTCTTCTGGGGCAAGGAATGGAACGGGAATGACCTGTTTCATGGAACTACTAAACTGTTGCCTGCAGTGCACGGTAATACCGTTGGACTTAGGATGACGTGTAGGCAAATGGACAATTCTGTTGTACGTTTAATCATTAACCCACATTATGCTTTTTTAGGCATACAGACTCGATATCGAAGTCTTGCCCTTCCGATGATAGCACCTGATAGCTGCAGTGGTAGTACGTGAGTCGTGGAAGCAATTATGGCGATAAGAAATAAAACATTTTAATTTCGTATCTTTTAAAAACAGCGTGTCATCTGTATATCTATGCGTGTTCTGAAACCACGTGTCGTGCAATGAATATTCTCCGCTGTGACGCGTTTCAGGACCCGTTGCTTAGGGAGGTGGAGTAGGTCGTAGATTGTCCAACTTCGGTGAAACTTGCTGCTTCCGGTTTCTCAGGACAAATAATTGGCTGTCATAAATGTGGGCGAATTACGGTCCAAAGAAAAGGTTGAGTGTCATCAAACACTGTATATTTGCTAGAACCCAAAATATCAACACTTTATCACTGTTGCCTTAGAAACTAGATATACTATATTGACCATTTTATCATCCACCATGAAGACCGCTCGGATACTCTGGGTGGTAGAATTGGTTCGCTGCTCAGTGAGAATCTTGGAGCAACTGGAAAATGGCTTGTGGTTGTCATAATCTTGTTCATACGTAGAAGTTCCTCGGATGTGTAAACAACTTGGAGCGTACTGTAAATAACGTCGGATGTTTCGTTTTTTCATGTGTTTATTTTCCAAAATATTCTAGGAAGATAAGCCATCATATTCACAGCGAGTGCCATTTTTATTTGTCTACGACTGTTCTTAGGTTGCAACATCTGCATCCTTCATCTTCTGTAATAAAGATCTTACAGACCTGCCATGTTTGCTTCGACGCAAGAAAGAAACAAAAATAGGTACCAAAAACCCCCTCTTTTCTTCCATCATGCAAATTTCGTTCCATTAGAAGTTACATAATCTAATTAAGCAATTCTTTTTATATGCAGACTGTATATTATGATCTTCCTCCAAATGTCTGGTCTTTCAAAAAAAAACTCTTTAATTACTTTCTGATCTAAATATTTAAGACAAGGGCTGTAACCACGTCACACGAGGAAGCTTGAAGTTAGCGATAGAAAAAGAAACGTTCTTTCTTTCACAGAGGTTTTAGTAACTATGATTTAAGAGTCTAGAGGGGAAAAAAGTAAAGAACACTGCACTACGTCGTGAAGCTTTAGAAAATCTGAACCTAAACTTTGCAAAGGAGGTCTGTACTTTTAGCTCTGTTTATCCCAATAATGCATTTATTATTACTATTATTCCTTTTATATTTCTTTTTGTGCTGTGCTCGTAATCGACCACTTGGTTGTCGATGCAGCAATTTAATAATAAATAATTGGCTTTTACGTGTTACATTCATCCACACCAATACGCAGGCATATAAATGTGTTACTGATACCATATTCCTAATTATTATTATTTGCGCAGTGTCTGTAATCAGCCATTTGTTTGTTGATGCAACACTCTAAAATGAAATACTGAATTGAATTACTGCAATTAATCGTCGTATCATAGGTACATACATTTTTAGTAGCAAATTTCAATCACAATCCGATCGAGAAAGGATCTGTGAATTCAGATACTGCCCACAGCTTGGGAGTTCGCGAGGCAGTTGTGGTGGGAAAACAGATTCTTTGAGCATTCAGCCATGATTCCGTTCTAACGTCAGCTATCGTTTCAGCTGTACAGTAAAGACGCTCATTTCATACGAGCGCAATTGTTTTGGTATGTGTAGAAGCGGCGGGCAGACTCGTACAACTGCTTGGCTATCTCGCCATCGGTGCAATATAGGCCCTGCAAGGCTCTTGGCAGGCAAAATGTTGTAATTGGGAAAGTTTAAACCCTTGAATCCCAGCGGTAATAAAGTTTACCATATACTTTAACAACCAATATTATGTTAATTGAATTTGTATGATTGTCACTGGTATTACAGCTTTAAACAGCATTAAGAAGTTAATGTTTGTAATGAAGAAGTTCTGCGTTTTGTTTGAGGCGTGAACTGAATTCTTAAATATGATTTGGATGATCGTCAGCTTGAAAGGGTTAAGACGTGTGACAGGGTGACTGATGGTTACTCTTCATAGAATTTAACACAGTTTTTAGGACCTTGAATTATCCAATATTTGTACTGTCATTTGTATTTTTAATAAGTTTAATGTTTTGTTGTTTATTGGAGTATTTTTAGTGCTTTACTGCAATTATTTCACGTGCTGTTGTCATTAATTTAACAAAAATTAATACTCTTTGTAGGAAATCGTGAACTTGTGTATTATAATGCTGTGCGAACTCCTGAACGTGGCGTGAGATAATACACAGCGAAACTGGAAGGATCTGGAAGGATGCCGTCAGTTCCAAGTGAAGGTATGTGTTGATGGTTTATGGTATCTCGTTGCATGATTCTGCGTTAATAATAGTAGGTAGTTGCGACAAGGTTTAGTATTCCCGAAAATAATTGTAAATATTATTGTTAAGCCAGCTTCAGGCTTACCTTCAGTGATATATTATACAGAATTTCACAAGGATCTATCATATAATTAAAAATGATTGTGAGATAAAAACGCAAACAGACGCATAAAGATTGACCTTTCAGAGCCAAATAAACCTGTTTCACCCTTAGAAACAATATTGAATTCAGATTGCCCATCTTCATGACTTTAAAGATGTCAGGTGATTGTGCATACCTGGAATCACAGAAAATACGATTTAACCATTTTACTAATTTGTGTCTGGGGTACAGGCAGAACAACGTTATTTCAATTTTAAGCTAAGATTCGCTCTTACTCAGAAAAGACTGCGTTAATATACATTTGAGTTTGCTCAATTGCTACTAACAACTATATTTGAAAAACAGGATTTGAGGTTTTCACGGTGGTGAGTCTGAAGATGGCTGTCTTCTGGTTTGTTCTATCAGACTACACTGCACAACACCCAGAAGACAGCCATCTTCGATATCTGAAAAGGTGTAATGTCGTTGTCTTCCATCCCTCTCCATTTAACAATTCAAAACACGAATTATTTTCTCACAAGGCTCACGGCAATGCGAAAAAGCAGATGGCCTTAACCACATATTATTTGTGTAGTTACGTTTATAGTTTACGTGAAAAACAAACAAAATATAACACAGTGAGAAGAGAAAATAGACGTACAGTTTAATTAACTTCAGTTATTTTGCCCATGATCAAAGTACACATTCGGATACATGGGAATTTTATTGTTTATATATGGAAAATATGTATACTTTTTGCTGTCTTCAATATTCGTTGTTTTTATAAGTTTCTAAACTACTTTGATGTTTAATAAAACACTAGGATTCATGTTTTAGAACAGACGTTTTTATTGCTGCCTTCCTTCATACACACATTGAAAATTGCAAATAGATGTAAAAAGATCACTATTCCTGTAGTATAATACGAATTTATGACAAGACAGCCTGGAGGTGGATGTTTCTAGAGTGACAGTCCTGTTCACCGTTGAATTTTATAACAGTGCAACTGAAGTATTTTGATCTAGTCTTATAATTTTCGAGATTGGGTAAGAAGAGGAAAGGTTGCTTTTAACTTAATAAAACTCGTGTAATTTTGTTAATTGTCTTTCTTGTTAAACTTAAGTTTGTAGGATAACGAACAACGGGAAACGGATTTTCAGACAAGTTTTCCAGAAACAGAACGTGCCACTTGGAGATATGTTTGGCCCATCTGGGTGATACTCAGGAATGGACCCTAAACTAGCATTTTGTAGTTCAGATTAGCGTAAAGGAAATGTAGCTGACAGGCATTTTAGATGTATATATTTGAAGTTTAGTTCCAGAGACAGATATCCTGATTGAGGTTTAAGCATTTTCCCCCACATGCAATTGTTACTGGTGGCCATGATTATATATATGCGCTTTGCGGTTTGTCAATCGTACTATTATTAATACCTATCAGACGCTTCGTACCTTCCTTGTCGATAAACTTCCATAAAGTAACCAAATAAACAAAGTACTTGCCGGAAGAAGATCGTGTATTATTTTCTATGCAGTAAATTTCTACTCTTACGAATAGTTTACGTTGTTGAAGAGAAATTGTAAAGTGAAATTTCGTAAAGCGAGGCGGTATTTCAAATAAACGTAGTGTTATAATTGAGGATTACTTTTCCGAACGACAGAAAATTAAAAAAGGAAATCAGCAATTTTATTGCTGAAACGCAATGTTCAGTGAACGGAAACAGTTCATTAAACATGCTATAACATTGTTAAAAACAGCAAAGTTTTTCACAAGATGCACAGCAGAGTAAAGCGTAAGGTGACCTGATTCATGTTCTTCTCCAGGTTTCGCTAGCCGACGTTGCGTCATTTATTTGCGTTTTCTTCAGCACGTGCTGGATTTTGTCAGGAATATTTTGGATGAGCGAGTTCGTGGTCGGATGACGGAGTTAAGCGGATGGTATACGCTTCATTAAAAAAGTTCCTGTGGGCAGAATTTCGTAACGCAAATCGTCGTAAAGCGAGGACTGACTGTACTAGTTTCCGGAAATGAGAAAGCCAGACACTGAAAGGCGGATTTATAATTGTATTATTATGAAAAGAGTAACAAACACGCATACTTAACGTGAACCTCGTTGTATTCGTGTTTGGCTGCAGGTAGTGTATTTCTGCGAGGAACATCGCACTTTACAAAGTCGATATGACAAAAGTACTTTGCATTTTTGGGGTACTGGTACCTACAAATGTTTCTGGTTTATGAAAAGCGTTTTAAAGCGGCGCTGACGGAATTGAAAATGAAATATGTTGCACAAATATGTCGAAATAAAACGTTTACAACAATTATGCCCAATCCGATGCGATAAATGAAAGTTTTCTGTCATGGACCGGCAGGTTGAAGGAATTTTAGATGGTTCTAGAAATGTATAAGAATCGGAGAAATTGATTTGTGAGGAAGCAGCGTGTTATACTGCCATGGCTACTGTTTTCTGCTTGTGTCAGATTGACTAGTTTCTTTCAAAGGAAAGGTTCTGTGAGGCGTGCTTTGTACTCGGTTATACAACACGAGTGTGCAAAAAGGTATTAAAAACCTTATTCAAATGCAGACCAGTAGAAATACAGAGAATTTACTTCAGCAGCGGAACGTTAAACAGTATCACAAGGTCGTAATTTGCATTATTCGGGTGGTGACGATGTTCTGGACATGTAGTTCGCAGGTATGAAGGAAGAAGTGAATGAAAAATCTTGTGAGATTTGGATTTATTACATCGGTGAAGATGTCGGTGTTTTGATACCATGTAGACACCAGCGTTACAGAGGTGGAGACAGTATGTTCTTCCGAAACGTTGGTATCCACCCAACGAGTCCACACAGCGTTACAACCCAGAACAAGATCGACAGTGCGGAATCTTGATTATGAAACGCGTTAGTGGGAATAATTTGGCGTTATGACATATGAATTAGTATTGTTGGTCGGAGGAAGAATTAATGGTCTATTTTAATTTACCAGTTTAAGATTATTCCGGAGGAAAAATGTGAAAATATCTCGGTGAGGATAGCAGATAAATCTAGAATCCACGTGTTACCGCCAGTCTTACCCACTGTGTTCGTATTTGTTTCTATCGACTCAGTATGCAACTGCAGGAATGAAACTTGCAATAAAATAGGCCTACGTGCAAAAACAAGAGGTATATTTTATGCCATCGGCGTTGTATGTAAACGTTGCTGTACAACATCTGTTTGTTTCCTCATGGCCTGTCAGAGAAGTAGGATGGAAACGGCTCGCCTCGGCCAAGAGATAATTAATATACAGTATGTGATTTGTTTCAAATCACGTCTGCCTTGTTTATTAGAGCGATAGTAATAGGGAGGCTGTCAAACTGTTAGCATGGAATACGAACGATGTTGAAATGTCTTATCTCTTCAGCAATGTCATACGTGTGCCTGCTTGTGTGTAAAAATAGGGATGAAAAGGGATTGATGGGTGGATGATCACGAGTTACCAAACTGTTAGCTACGGGAATGAAACAGCAGGGGTATCTGATGCTGTGGAAACCCGATACTTTTTGTCAAATCCGCCTGTCAGCATCAGTATACCCACAGATTTTAGAGTGGAGACACCGTTATTTATTCAACCGTCCGCACACAGTCACGTTTCAAACCTAGGACTACCGTATAAGCTCTGTTGGGAGAAAACAATTCTTGATCCCTGCATTAAAGTTGACAGCTGTTTGTATCATGACGGCCATCACACCGAGTGTTACCAAAGTAAAGTTTCTTTGTTTTACGTTGGAGCTTTTCAGCTTCTTGTTGACAGGCATTTGTGCAGCGCTTCAGAACTTACCTGTGTATCGAGAAATTGTTGGTAACTCTTAACATGGTCAACATATCAAGTTTGTTCGGTGTTCTTCGCGCTTGAGCACTTAAAGGGCCCGTCTATGTCTGTGTCTGTCACTTTTACCGAGAAAATAGGCAGTCCGCATGACCAGGAGTTATTTTTGCGAAACCCTGGGAACCACTTTCACTGTTGCATAACAATTGAAACACATTGTGGTGCAAAAATAACGTCGGATCACATCAGCGAAACAATAATATCAGCTGAAGATGGCTGACTTCTGGGTTGCTGCACAGTGTAGTCTGGCGATAATCTCCCTGGTGATGGAGGCAGCATGGACATCCGAAACGTTGGTAATCTTCTACCAGACTACACGGCGCAGCAATCCAGAAGATAGGTGGGAAAATATCAGCTTTCGTTGTTGGGACACATTACTGCACACCAGTCACCCCGGACAACGTCAGTGCAACATTTACTTTGGGTCATTTTTGGAACACACTGTTGCGTTTGAATGCCGTCGGGTAACATTACTGCAACACTGGCCTACGTGTTATAGCGTGCAGAACACCGTTAGAATGTTAGTGCATTCAAATAGTTCACCTATTCGATCTTGTTTTATTTTGTCAGAGAACATCCAGTGTGTAGGCCAGTTAGTTTTAGGGAATAATTATTAAGATGTTCTATGGAGGCCTGAATTTTCAAAGTGGCGGTTTTTATTTCGTAGTGAAATTTTATTTAAGAACCACTAATTCTTCACATCAAGCAACTGATTTAATAAAAAAACAATAATAATAGTTTATTTCTTTCAGCAAAGAAATAATAGCAGTTTACCACGAGTTCTCAGTTCTGAAGCAGAGCATGAACATCTTTGCATATTTAAGTAGACTTGAGTGGAAGAAGTTTCCAACCTTACCTGCAGATGCTACATGTGTTTTGACTTCCGTCTTTTACGTGGATATACTAGAAAGAATTCACTACTAACACTTTTGCGCCTAACTAATAAACTACTAAATCACTCGCTCGCTCATTCCATGGTTAGAACAAGCTTACAGTGAATCGACGTGA